AGAACCCCCCCCCCCCCACCCACTCGAACAACACACCAGAGTACATATAAGGATCACGTTACCTAGCCAACTGGAAGAAAAAACGTCAAGCCAACACAACACAGAATAACACAAACAAAACTAACACCATAAACTAAGCGACTACCCTACTACTCTAATCCTAGATCTCCAACCGTCCTTATCTAAGGTCATATCTACAGTAAGAGCTAAATGTCCTAAATCCTACCTAACCACCTCCTTCCCATTCTTCCTAGGTCTACCCCTACCCACACACCCTCCAACTACCGAAAACTTCTCACATCTCTGCACCGGAGCCTCAAGTGCATGCTTTCTCACATGACCAAACCATCTCAATCTAACCTCTCAAAGCTTATCCTCCACCGATGTCTCTAAATGCTCCTTTTTTCACCTAAAACCATGTAAAATTCCATACGCTAAAAATACTCATCCATGCAGCGCAAAACTCATTTTTAAAGTTTTCCCCTTAAGCTCCTATGGGTAATTGGGTACAACGCACTTTACATATTGCCAATATTTCAAATTGAAAACAAAGTGCTCCTTTTTTTATGTAAAACCATTGAAAAATTTCAAACATCAATTACTTGTTTATAAAACCCAAAACTCTTTTTTTAAAGTTTTGGCCTCAAGCTCATTGGAGAAAGTTAAAAACTACTCCGTAACCAAAAGCGGGTATTTATTTTAGACTGTTGCTACACACATTTCTTTCGGAGTTGAAACAAATACAAGTACTGCACACAAATATATACACCACAGTAAATTACCAGCATTTTACACTCACAGACGACATTCAAATTAACATATAACCTCCACTCGAAAATAATCTGACCGCTCAAACTGATCAAACTGCACGTCTAGGCATGTCTCTCTGCACCAGGCGGCGCAGTTGGCAAGGGGAAGTCACAGCTGCAGAATTCTCCATTGGCAAATTGTGGTGTTTCAATGTAAGGGCTCTGAAAGAACCAGTATAAGACAACATCGAAGAATAGAGCCATCAAAGAGCAACAAGAAAATTTTAACTCACTTAGAAAAAGGGCGTGAATCGCTGAGTGATGGAGTAAACTTTCATATATATTGCATGATAATACAAATCTACATTGTTGTTCATATCTGACAGATTACTCGCAAAATCTATATTGATCTCAAATAAATTTTCAAAGGGTCTTATCTTCCCCGTGGGGGTTTTATATACTAAACCACCCCCAAATCTATTCCATTGGCATGTACTTTTACGTTGGATGTTATATTCATTGCTTTAATTTTGGAAAAGGACAGTAAGGTGAGGCAATGAGCTATAAATGTTGTATTGCTGATTTCCGAAAGATAATTCACATAACGTTTACCATCATTTCAGAAATCCCACCTCATTCATTCTAGTATCTATGAAGAAAAGGGTCCAAAGAGGAAAGACAACAAACTAAAATGAGCTTTATTAACATATAAAAAAAGTACGGAGCATTTAGAAAAGGAATAAAAGATAGTACATTAGTACCTGCACTGCAAATGTTACATAAGGAGCCTTATCTGCACTCTGAGATTGAGAGGAGTCTTTCAAAGAGTGAGAACCATAATGTGTTTCACTACCATCCAACTTCTGGACTGGAGTATTTACAGAATCCTCAATGCCTTTGTCATTGACAAACTTTACACTCTAATGGCATGTAGATTTCTATTTTAGAAACATCAGGTGAAATAATCAAAAGTCGTAAAACCTGAAATTGGTGAAAGTACCTGGAAAACTTTCCCCAATGTCTTCAGTCCCTTTGCTCGTGCACGAAGTTCTTCTTTCTTTACATTGGTATCCAGTAAAACCTGAAAATAGAAAAAAAAATTAAAAAAATTGAATGGAAACAATGAAAGAGAAAAAAAACATGCAACAAAAACATGAAAATTCATCAAAAAGACAACCATCTGACAAACACGGGAGAGAGTTGTTTCTATATCAGCAACATTAAGCTTCCACAGAGAGTCAATCATTACTCTCTTGTGAGACTGCAAATACTCCTCCATTTCATCCTCAGTGTAGGTTCCCTCTGCACTAAGATGACGTTTCATGTCCTCTTGAAGCTGAACCAAAGCAATAGCACCTAAGCAAAACAAAGTATTGGAAAACAGCATCTTTTCAATGCTAAGGGACTTGCAAACTCATGGACAAAGCTGCAATCAAGCAGCATCTTCTCACTAATACTACCAAAATTAACACAAACACAGTTTGTACACAAGAACATAATATTGTAGGCAGTATATGTGAAGGAACCATAAACAAAACCAAGCAGCAACAACTTACCGGGAGATGCAAAATAATTACTGATGGGAAGGGAAGAAAACTCAATTACACAGCTTTTAACATTAAAGGCTACCCTCCAGTCCAACCTACATTGATACAATGCTAAGGGACTTCCGAGCTCATGTTGAATATACAGCAGCTTGAACACACATTAGTGTTGGAAACCGGGTAATTTACCCTCTAAAACAACTATTGAAATGAACCAATATATAAATCACCAAGAAAGACCACCAAATAGTATCCTCACATAAGAGACCACCCATACTATATGTTGGATATTTCAAGCTTATCTAACATAAAATCCGTGTTCACCCTAACCCGAAAGGTCTCAAGTGATTAGACTAAAGAAGAGTGCAAAGTAGATTAGTATATTTGTATCATTAAGTGGGAGTAATTAAATGCCATCAAATGTGTGGATGCTACGTAATGAAGTTGGAATAAAAGCATCATTGTCAACATGTTTGAATTTATTGAGCTCTATTGATTCAACCATTGGTATTCCTTTTTGGTATTGGAATACTGAGGTCTGGGTTCGGTCACTCTAATCCTGCTACAAGTGCCTACTTGAGCCGTGTAATTATATTTATCAGTATATTATAATTGAAAAGAAAAAACAATATATACATGCAAGAATAAAAAAGATAAGTGGAGACCACACCCAAAAACTGATAACAAAGTTTGGCAAAACATGCCTAATTTCCAAGCACCACTCATAAGATCCATTTTTATTTATATATGGGACTGTAGGAGAGGAACACTTAAGATGGGATGATAGAATGGGAAAGAGTGTGAGTACTTCTATATCTTGAAACCTCCCCCATAAACTTAACCAGCAAATATGGAACTTAAATTAAAGCCAAAACTAAAAAAAATACACATTCTCGCAACTTTTAATAACACCAAATATAATTCTTCTCAAATAAATAACAAAATAAAAATGCTCATCATGGTGCTTCTAAATTTCCACTATCGGTTCCCATCTACAATATATTTAATATGTGTAAAAAATATTGAAGTGTGTCTCCTATAATCACCTTGGTTGGCATATTGCATAGATTCTCATTTTTTTGAATCTTCTCCAGAGACATCTCTCCTCTTTGAGAACTTCCCACACAAAATGATAGTGAACGTCAATGCGCTTTTTTTTCATGAAAGACTTGATTCTTTTCAAAATGAATAGCACTCTCACAATAAGAACATACCTCAAGACATTTCTAATCTACTCAAGTATTTTAGGGAATGCCTGGATGACCAGTGATTTTGAGTCAAATTTTGATTTGATGTTGATGACTTTGAATTTGTTTGATTAGAACATGACTTCTGTCATGAATTTGGGAAGTGAACTACAATCAACGATTTCAAGTCATGGCTACCACAGTAACCACCGCCTCCTCCCTTCATTCCACACTCTCTCTGGCACAACCCCCCATTCCCCAACCACACTCCCACACTATCCCACTTTGTCTCTCCTCCACACCCACCATCACCCATCACCATTCTTCCCATCTCCACCCCCACCTGCCCTCCCCTTTCACATCCCATCCCCCTCTCGGCCGTTACACCAACACTCTCTTTCCCTCCCTTAAACCGCATTTCACCTTCCCTTCCTCTGCCCCTCTGCCCCCATCCATATCCACTCTACCTCTCTGGCACTAAATACTAACCCCCCTTTCCCCAACCCCACTCCTACCCTCTCCCATGTTGTTCCTCCTCCCCATACACCACACCCACCTCTCCCACCCTACAATCCCAACCTCTGCCTACCCCATCTCCTTTCCTCCACCTCAAACAACATAGTACAAATCACACACCTTAAGATCATAACCATCCAAACAGGATACTACAAATCTCATGTCGGGATCATAAACATCCAAACAACACATTACAAGTATCTGGATTGCAAAACACTACAAATCATGGTGGTGTATCATGACTTGTAGTTAGTAGTTACGAAACTGTAATAATCATCCAAGCAAAACTAACAACCCATAAACTTTAGTTGCCTCTTTTAAAGCTTGTGTAATGGTACCTTTGCTATAGATTCCCAACGTTGACACTTTTAACTAATTAGCTCATTGACTAAATTGAACAAGTAGTCCCTTATCCAAGTCACAGTGTAGTCAGAACCGCAATATCCAAGTATAATTGACTAAACGATTCATTATGCTCAAATGAGAAGTGAGGTATGGGTAGGTTTTGAATATTCTTTCACAGTAAAACATCCTAGCACCTTCTTCAAATACTGCCTTTACGTAAGACAAAACTTGCATCTTTGTCTATCCCTTCTCATCTTCATATGAAAACTTTCTTTTTATATTTTACTCAACTATACCTTCAATCGGTCAATGTCAACTTCGCTCCTCATATTTATTAGTTAATCATCAATGTACAAGAGTAGGTAGGTGTAGGGTCTATATCAAATTTTGCCTAAATTGGTCGACTAATTATATTTGGTTCTTATGTGTTTCTTCTTCACATCATGTTTGAGCTACTGCGAAATTCAAATGTGTTACTAAGGCCAACAATTTTTATAAGTAAAAAAAGGTTATTCCTTGCAGACACTAGAAGACACCAACCTCTCTTTAGTCGAATCGTCCTCCCATGGTGAATCATCACTTAGAGACATGACGAAGAGATGGGTATCTTGATGGTTTTTTATTTTGGATGCCACTACCAGAGAAAGCTCTCGTTGAAAAATTGATCAATAGATATTGATAAAGTAATACTTTCGCTAAAAATGAATTTGCTTTGATACCACGTGAAGTCGATGAAGATATATAAATAGAGGAGAATCAACAAATGAGTACAAAGGCCCTATATATACTTGGCTAAAGACAATTACTTAAGTGATTATCTAAACACACGTGACCTAAGAAATTAAATAAACTCAGAGAGATACGCAATGAAGTGATATTATTGGCGCCTACTTCTATTGACTACTTTCCTACTATCAACACAAAGCCACAAACATTGCCAGTAGTCATTCAATTTGTTATGAAAGCTGAAGAAATGACTTCCAACAAAGGAGGAGACATTTTCATATTTTGGTTTAAATGTTCATGAACTTCATTTTACTATGAGACCCAAACACAAGGGAAAAAAACTCCAACTCCTACAAGGCATTTTCTACCTTCCCAACTGGAGCCTAAGCTACAAATATTTCTTGAGTTTAAAAAATTAAGACTTTAGAGTGCTAGAAAGTACAACATCCAATTATGAACACCTTTGAGGCTTAAATTTTGCCGTTTATCAAAGTTGAAAGTCGTTTACGTCTATTGCCAATGGAGCTAAAAAAACTCATTCTTGACAATTTTTTATTTTGTGTAAATAATGGAATAAATCAAATGGAACATTCAACTTCCCCTAAGTCTTACTTTCGATGAAGTTTTGGGTAATGTAGCAATACATCAAAAGTTTAAAGGAAAACAACCTCAAAATTATTATGGGGCTAAGACTGCGTACATCTTGACTCCCACAACCCAACATAATTGGGACTATAAAGGGTTTGTTGTTGTAGCAAAATTAAAGATTTTGTCTCCAAGGTGAGATTTGTACCAACAGACCTGTTGCTGCGGTGACCTGTGACTTTATAAAATGGCCTTTGTTTCTGAACCACTCAGCAATGAATGGTACCCCCAAAAGTTTAGCTTTTTTTCCAAGTTCTTTTGCTGCCTGCCTCGTGTATATGTAGCCAATGGTATTTAGCATATCAACCCCATAAGCTGTAACAAATATTGCCACAACAAATCAACGTTAATAAAACAAAGATAGCCTTGATATATGAAAGGCAAGACAAAGAGAGAGAAAGGAGCAGGCAAAATGAGTGTCCAAAGATTTATGCAATTATTTTATTTTGCATTGAGTAATCAACTTCATTTTTCCATTTCAATTATTCTAGTGATGCATTTTGGAAGAAAATGAAGCTTTCATTCCCAGGAGCAACATTGTTTTGATTTAAGTATTTTATCTTGTACTTGCAGCAGTGTTTGTAGTGTTAGTTTGATAATTTTCTTACTTAAGCACTAGTGTTCCCCAACTCCCTCTACCAATTGACATTGCACATTGCACAAGTTTTTTAAGAGTTAAGAAAATCATCAAATGTCCCTATTGGTGGCAGCCCAAGCAAGTAAAACACTTAATAGAAAGATGGTGGCATCCAAACATCATCCCAAATTACTACCCCATCATATTTATGATTCTTTTGAGTTATAGTGTTTGTCTACAGCCCACCATGTTTGAAACTTCTTATCTTCTGTTACTATTCCTGAAATTGGCTGAGAGACAATTTTTCATAGAAGTTGACGACAATTTTCCATTTCCCCATTGGAAGTCCCTTGTTCACTGTTGGTGGGACTTCCTCTCAAGGTTGGACCAGATGGAACTGTCAATTGTTTAAACTTGCTCCATGGTGGGTTTGCAAACTCCGAAAACCATTGCATACTCTACAATAGTCCCCACAAGCTTGGATTGGAAGGTTTACTGCTGTACTAAGAAAGGCAGAATTAAACAAGGCCGATCATTCCATGTTCTTTAGGCACTAGGAACCACATAGAACTACTTATATGGGAGTTTATGAGTACGATATTATTGTTACAAGTAATGACTCATAATAAATTGTCTGTCACTAACACCATTTGTCCTTCCAACTTCAAACAAAAGATCTCAGGAGACTAGGGCATTTGTCTTGACAATTTCAAGCAAAAGATCTCTGGAGACTGGTACTTTTTTCGACTATATGTTTTTCTTGAAGGTCATCTTGTATCGTGGAGAAGAAAGACACATTGTGTTATTATAAGAACAAGTGTTTAAGCAAAAAAAAAAGGAATTTGGCCCTTAAGAAAATCAATGTGACCTTGTTTGGTTAAACTTTAAAGTACTTCTCCAAGAAGTAAAATACTGCATAGCAAATTCTATGAAATTAATTCATGTCAATAAAGCAGCTCTTCATATTTTATATTGTTATTTTCTGCAAGAAAGTTCTCTCCAAAGAAACCAACACCATTCTTGTTGGCTTGTTGCAGATATCATCCCCAGATCTTGGTGAAGACCACAAAGAATCTAACTTTGCAACAAGCTTGGTGATCCGTAACCATGACATGCATGCCCCAGCCCCCATCATAGGGGGAGAGTTGAAAAATGTGTGAACTGGTATATTTAGTGCATATTTAGACAATAAACTAGCTTTGCAACTTGGACTTTATTTTGTGCTATCTATTTAAACCACATTCCCACTTGAGCCGGGGGGAGGGGGGGTCTCTTGGAAACAGCCTCCCTACTTTCAAGTAGGGGCAAGGCCCAGACCCTACTCTTGTGGGATCCAACTGGATTATTATTTAGGCCACATTTCCATAAGGGGGAACTGCTTTTCAGACTTTGTATTCAGCTTCCTATTTATATACAACTCAACCTGTGTAAATGTATGAATTCTTTTTATATAATTAAGGCTTCACTCTTATATTTATTTTCTAATATTTAACTAATACATACACGTGTAAGTTAAACTGCCTACATTTTTTAAAAGCAAAAAAAAAACGTGCTAGAGACTGCATAAACTTAAACCTTTTATGTTTGAAAATTTTATATCAATGAAAAGATTAATGTTTGTCATTGTTTGTGTCTCACGTTCAAGTGACCGTGCCTCATGCCTAAGACTCCATAACCCTCTTGAGCCTCAATAACCTTTGCACTTTTTTCAAATGTGAATTTTTCCATATCAATATCATAATGAGAGTATGAGACACAACTATAGCAAAGATCCTTAGTCATTGTCATCTCATGGTGCTTCTCTTGAAAGTGGAAATAACTTATGATAATGACACTTTTATATTTCATCTCATTAATCCTTCTGGTCAAGAAGGTCACCACTATGCTTTTGTATGGATTGATAGTGTTATAGTGTTAATAAGAAAGATTTAATGGGTACCTTAAAGCCCAAACATCAGGTGTAAAACACAGAATACATTTCATTGAAGACAAAAATGTTGAAACAAGTTGGATGGAAAACATATGGCACATAACCTGCATTGAACAGTCGGGATACTTCAGCTTTAGCGTGATCCCTAAATTCTTCCTTACTTCCTTGTACATACAGATTTAGTCGATCTTTTAGAATTTCAGCTAGTTTTTCTTCTCTTTCTCTTTGAACAACCTGACTTGTAGTGGAAGAAGAGATTTATGCAATCAAACTTGTAACTAGTCGTTAGGGTTCTACTATGCACAACCACCTAGTCTTTAAGGTTCTACATAATTTAACTATAAAACAAACACCACAAATATGATAATGAAACATAGCATAATCTACCAACAAATATCCAAGATATAACCATGTGGTTTTATTTTCATGCAAACATGTATATTAATGTTTTGTAAAGATGTGATAAAAAATAATAAGATTGATATGTTTTAAAATCATGGAAGAACAAGATTGATATTAATTAGATACCCTCATCTTTTCTTGCAGCTTTTTTACGTCAAAATCCTCGCCTTCAGTAAAAATATCTAGTGAGGCCATTGATGCCATGGCAAGCTGTCCAATGTACTCCTCAAAAAGTTCACTACCAAAAAGCATAGCAAAGATTGCTGCAGGATCGATTATTGCCTCCCTGCAGTTAATAACAAACCATGCAGCTAAAACATCTTTCACAATATATATCTGAAATACTGCACTCAACTACACATAATATCAGAACAGCACTTTGAAATTCCAGATTTCCCATAAGAATCATAAGCTTGTCGTTGAGCTGGATCACTCAGTACTTGGTATGCCTCTCCTAAAACCTGCAAAGAGGAGATTTTTTCATCTCAGAGCTGGACAAAGACTATGCATATGCAGGTTCCATTACTTGTCATTCACCGTGTCTCTCAACAAAGACACAATACAATAGCAAGCAATGAAAGACTAAGATACTACATATAGACCCTAGGCTCAAAATGAATAGATGCAGGGCAAATGTATGCACAGAAAGCGTAGCAACACATCCAAGTTCACAGAAGAGTATGCACTACGCAAGCCCTAAAGACTACTAACCACACAAAAAATAAGATGGAAAGCTAGCATAACCTCTCAAACCAAAGAGCCTATATAAAATACTACCCTTCTATCCTAAGCACATAGAGACCTGGGTTTATTATCTTTGTAATACGAAGAGAATGATATATATGTCATACTACGTATAATATAAGCAATGCAGCTGTAAAGTTAGTCCAACGGTAAACAAATATAGGAAGACTAAGAAGACGCTTGCATTATAAGAAACCCTGGTTATCACATTAGTTACATTATTTATTCTCTTCACTTACAAACACAATTTATGGAGGAAGAAAAAAACATGAAGATGTAAACTTCCTTGATGAAAATCTCACCTGAAAATTTTGAGCTGCTTGAGGATCATTTGGATTTTTATCTGGATGAACCTGTCGCGCCTGGACCAATACAGATTAAAAAGGCACAAAGCAGATGTAAGACCATTTAGTGTTGGATACTCAAAAGCTCTTTGACAACTGATGCTAAACTGATTAAAAAGTGGAAAAATAATAAGGAATAACAATGTTCATCATAGTGTAGATGATAAACTCATAAGAAGGTATATTTACTATAACAACAGCCAAGTCGTATGCCACTAGGAAGCATCACCTACATGGATCAAACAACGCCAAAGTGCCCTATCATATGAAGGTATGTTTACTAATAGGAAAAAAAGATCCACTTTTATAAAAAGATCAAAAAAAGGCAAACAGAGGATGAAAACACATTTGAAAGTATTTGCTTCCACTCTCTAATTTTGCATTTTTTTTGTTATTTGTTTCATATTTTCCATTTATCTTTCTCTATCTTATACTCTTCATTTCAGAAAGCATGTTTAGAATTTTATTTTCCAATGTTAATGAGGGTGCATGTGACAATTAGGGGCTGCAAAGTGCAAAATGTCCCACCACATAGGTCATAGGTGGCTAGAATTTAGGAACTTATTGTTATTTTCAAAATGAAAAAAACCAAAAACATGATGGTTTTCTCCAATCGCTAGCCACCATTGCCACATGTCCACAGCAATACAACACATTATCAAAGTGTTATATGAACTATTATGAAGTACAAAGATCACTTTTAAAAATGTGTGTTTTGTGCTAATATTTTTGTTTTCTAATTGGAGTGTGAATTTGGGAAAATAAAGGTTGATAAAAATGTTCTTAGGGTTAACTCTATAATGTAATTAAGAATAATTAGAATTTAATTAAGGATAACTAGAACCCAACACTCCCACTTAAGAGAACCACTCATAAAATATAGACATTAGGGGTTTGTATAAAATAGCATCACACTATTTAACGGATTTTTACACCAAAGGAAAACTCACACTGAAGATCAACTTGAAAAAAAAGGAATATGCCGAAGATGTGGAAATCCTTCGTTCTAATGAGGGTGTGCCATTGGTCATTCGACGAGCTTTAAGCATAATGGTGTGTCAAGATGACCAGATTCAATGGGTAAACATATTTCATTCTCAATGTACTATTAAGGACAAGGTATGTTATATAATCATTGATTGTGGAAGTTTTCCCAACATGACATCAAAAAGTTATTTGAGAGGAGCTTGTTTTCTAATGTTTGGCTAATATTTCAACAAAAGAATCCATCTCCACGTAACACATTGTGGCCAAAATTGCAGCAGAAAAAGGGAAGGAATGGATGGTTAAAATCTTGAGTGAACAGTCCAGTTTGAATTTTGAGACCCTTGCTGTATTATTAAGAGTGTTGCTCAAGAATTCTTATAGAAAATTAGAAATCATGCTGATTTTTCTGGTTTTCATACCTAGAGCATCATTATGATGATTGGGAATGTTGTATTTTAAATAGGAGTTGATCCTTGAAATAAATCAGTGTGTGACTGTTGAAATATAAGTGTGCGCTCTTTGAGTGAATCCTGAAATTTGAGTGATTCAATTTTATCTCTTTTCTACTACGGTAATTGTTATCTTTTGAATAGGTTATTAAGAGTGTGGATTAAGCTTAAACATTGTCAAAAATGACTCTTTGAGCTGCATTGTTTAGAAACATCATGTCGGGATTTTATTGTGTACCTTCTTGTTTTTGTTTGTCCCGAATTATATTTCTACTTCCAAAACAAAGAAATTGAGATGAGCTTTGTTGGAACCAATGAGTGACAAATTCCTGTGTTTGGTTCAAGGAATTTGAGAGGGAATTGAAAAGAAAATGAGATGGAAAACTCATTTTTAAAGTAACTAAGCACATCCAGTTATAGCCCAGCTACTATCAAAGAGCTTCTGGAATAACAAACTGATACCTTAATGTAATAAGCCTTTTTAATCTGTGCTTCGGTGGCTGTAGGGATGACGCCTAGAACATCGTAGTATTCCGTTTCCTTCACCATGGATGAAGAAGAAAGAATCCCCTTATGTATATAAATATGTGCTTTCCTCTCCTCCGGGAACTAGGCCCCGCCGAACCTACTCCTTGTGTAGGGGTATAACTCTGTATAAAGGATTAAGAGATTAGTGATAATCAGAAGAATCGTGGCTGTGCATTAGCAATCATGAACAACATCAGTTTAATCCACAATACCAGAGGACGATCTTCTCAAAAACAAAACCAGAGAGGAGGATGATGTGAACTTGGGAAGCCAAGCGGGTATAATTCCCAAGTCCCCAATGCGATTTTTGACCCGGAAACCGTAGCTAAACCCGGGATTAATTCACTGGATTGATCAATGATTCCGAATAAAAATTATTGGGTGATTAGTGATTACTGATTAGTATTCCCTGGTACAAAAAATATTTCATATTTAAATTATTTTTTTTATCATGATATTTTTTAACTATAAATTATACAAATGAATAAATGTTATTGAATAAAAGTTTCATATATTAAAAGTATATTCTAAGATGAATTTAATTATGTTAAATTTATATTATAATTTAATATAATTTGTCACAATCGGTATTCAAAGAATGATAATATTTAACTAAAAAAATTAAAATAAAATAGATTTTTTAGATGGGAAGCTAGAAGTGAAAAGTGGCTATGGAAAAAACCAAAGAAACTAGGACTACATTTCTAAAATTTTGGTCCGTAGTCCCCTCTCTTGTTGCAATGTTGGCTTGACAAGCGCTAAGAATTTTTGTTCAGCAAGAAAAAAAGAAGAAGAGGGGAGTGAAGTGATAGGCAACGAAACCCGGAATGGCAGCAGAGGAAGAGAATGCAGAAATGGCGTCGCTGTTCGAGGGGATGGTCCTGTTCGATCCTTGTGAAATGGTTCTTGAAGAAGCCCCCAATACAGACGTCGTCGGACGGCGAGGCGGCTCCACCACCACAGCTCAGCCGGCCGAGCCTACTGTTCATGTTCCGGCTGCGCCGAATCATACTCCGCCGCTCGATGAGAACCTATTCTCTGATCTTACACTTACCACTCCTCCTTCACAATCCCTAGAACTCGAAGATACTAAGTCCCCTCCGGATCCGTCTTCATTATCGCTAGTCTCTCGCCAGAATTCCACCCGTAAGAAGAGGAGAGCTGGTTTAAGGATTGGATATGGCAGAGATAGATATTCTGCCTCCGATTCAGTCACATCCACTTCTGCTCCCTTTGAGAATTCTAATATTACTATTGGACAAGCAGATGATAAAGAAAAGAATCAAGCCGAAAGAGAAGAAGAAGAAGAAGAAGAAGAAGAAGAAGGTGATGATGTTGTTGAAGAAGAGGAAGATCAGATCTCCTCCGCTATGATTTCTGGCTGTGATTCCTCATCTGGGAATGTTTCTCAATGTGTTCGTTCTAGTGATGCACCTTACCAAATGGCTAAACTTGGTGGAGGTGGTGAAGACGTAACACCTGAGCAACTAAGTGGTAGCAGGAGTCATGATCCAGTTGAGTTAAGATTTGAACAACTTAGGATCCTTATTTCCTCTAAGATCAAAATGGCTAATGAAACTGTAGCTTCGATTTCCTCAGAAATGAAGGAATCGATTAGGAATCGGAGAAAAGCTGCTCGGAATGTGACTCAGGCACATGCTGAGTATAAAGAACTAGAGAAGAAGCTGGACGAAGCTTGTGAGGCCGAGGACTTCGAGAAAGCTGACAGAATAAGTCAAAGTTTAGCTTTTGCAGAGAAGGAAAAAGAACACTTGGCAGATGCTCTTCGAGATGCTGAAGCTCAGTGCAATGCTGTCGACTCTAAGATGCAAGAGGCTCTTGACTCGCTGATTCAGGTTGAAGAGGAATGTGCTGCTATGTTGCAGAGCTTTGCAGTGGTCAGTTCACTATGCTAACCAAATGATGATTTCATTTACTATCAAATTTAAGTATAGCACGTACAGCATTCTTGTGTTGCTTAGTGTGTAAATGACTGATCAAAATCACCATACGTTGAGTTATATTCTATACCTCTTTTACTTCTGCTCAGTACTGCATCAGAGAGATATATTGTTCAAACACCTTGGCTACTCAAAACATTACACAACAGCTTGCCTCAAGCTTATTTACAGCTTGCTGGATTTGCCAGAAGCTATATGTGTACTCTAGATAGCTTTCATATGTGCTCCCTTTTCAATAACTGCATCAATTTAATTCAGAAGGGGGGTAATTCTTGTTTTATCAGGATGCAGATTTGAATTTAAAGACTGCAGAAGGATTATCATCCAAGCAAATGGAGGAATGGAATTTGTCTGTTGAAGCAATAGAGGTAAACAAGATGGAATTGGAAATTGAAGCTGAGATAGTGTATGAGGCTCAAAAGGTTTTGAAAGATTCCATCGAGCAGTTTGTTGAGGATGACCACAGAGAAAGAGATTTTCTTTGCAGGAAAAAAGAAGTGTTCACAGAAGAGCTCAAGCAACTGCTTGCTTTAGTGAAAGAGAAGGAGGACGAAATAGCCGAAAATGATTCTCTCATTGAAAAAGTCGACAATAGAATTGCCTGTGCAATGTGTAGCTTCAAAGAAGCCCAAACCAATATTGAGGAAAATTATCATAACTTGCAGTCTAGTCTGTCTGAGTTGATGTTAGCAAATGAATCTTTATTGGAGAAAAAGAAAGAAATTGATAGTTATGTTTCCCAGGAAGAGTCTATGAAAGCAAAGATTAGGGATATTTCAAGTATTTCAGCAGAAGAGGCAAACATGTTTAAAGAAATTGTTGGGTCACGAAAGATTCTGGCTCAGTCTGTTTTGAAATCCAAGGAGGACAAACTAAGGCTTTCCATTACTGAGGATGAACTTGCTATGCACATCCAAACGCTCAAACAACAAATTTCTACTATGAGAACATCACTCCAGGTTAGTTATGTTTTTTTCTCTCTTAGAGTCTATCAGTGTTGGTGTGCCAAGTAAACCTTTGAAGGCAATCTGATAAACATTGTTAGGCTATGTGTTACGGCTTTGTGGGTGACTAAAGAAGATGAATTGATCTTTCCTTCCTCATATCGATATCAATATTGTAGTTAGCAATAATATTATGGCACTCCAAATTGATATTAAAATATTTTCCCTGTTTTCAAAACATTTGATTATGTATCGGGAGAAGAATATGAACTGAAAGGTCTTTTGAAAACTCTCTTCCACACCACCGGGAATCCACTTCAACATCACAGACCTTTTTTTGGTGCCTATGGTGATAGACAGCACATTCAAGGAAGAGGAAGATAGAAGATGAGTTCAATGGAAGAAATAAGAATAATTTTTTTAATTCAATTCCACTTGTCTTCAAATTACATTAGTCCTCCCAATAAATAGGTGATGGTATAAATACCACTGGTCTATGGATTTAATACATCTATACAGATGTGTCCAGAACTCCGGCGACCCGGTGGATTGAGTTCCATCATCTCATGCTTCCATTGAGAGAGTTGTTTTCTTCTCAAGAGTAGAAACCTCCCATGTAATATATGCTTCTCTGAAAGTTTAGAAAAAGAAAAGGGGTAAACACCGAGGCCTCTAAGGTAGACGGCCGTTGCCTCCCTCGCTGCTTGCGTGGGAGGAGCATGTGGGAACGAGGAAGATGGAAGATATGATGTGTGGAAGAGAACTTCTAAGAATTTCAGTTTAATTGCAACTTGTTTTCCAAATAAAAGTATTCTTTCATTTATAAAGGAATTACAATTGCAATCAATAAAATATTTACTCCCATACTTGGAAAGTTCTAATTACACCCGTCATTGATTTTTTTCTGTTTCCTGATTCCATTTATAGGTTCTTGGTTTGACATTATTATTTCCTCTTTTATGCATTTCATTTGCCCTGTTTATGTTTCACACCTGTTGTCTTGTTTCACTATATAGAGCTTGTTTGTTCTCATATCACCTTTGCTTTAGAGGATTTCTTTCTCCATTGGCCAAGAAATGTTCTTATTGCATTTATGTTTCCAAACATAATGTGCATGCAGGAGCTCCCTTATATCTGCATGCATTTTCTTCATCTCTCATTCATCAATCTGTGTTTTTGTAGGAATTGTCTTCATCAAAGTCAAGGATCCAGCAAGAAGTTGATTCCTCTAAGCAAAGGCTTCTCTATATAGTCAAGAAAGTTCCAGAACTTGAGACAGAGAAAAAGGTTGCTGCTACTGCAAGAAATTTCAAGGAAGCAGCACGCCTTTCAACAGAGGCGAAGGCATTGTCCGTTGAAAAGGAGGGAATAGAAACCAAATTGGAGGGTGCGGAGTCAGAGCTCAAGAAAGTTGAAGAAGATATTTGCCGTACTGTTGAAAGACTGCAAGAAACTGAAGCACAGGTTTCATCGAAGGAGAGAGAATTGGGTATGGCTAGATTCCAGAGGCTGATTTTAGTTGACAGAGCTTGCAGAGCAGAGAGATCAGCTGCTTTAGAGTTTGGTGACCATGAAGAAGCTGATGTTTTGCTGGAGGAGGCTGAAGCAGCAGTTTCTGAAGCAAGAAAACTTCAACAGATTTATGGTTTTAAAGAAGAAGAAGAGTTCACTAACCTGCCAAAGCATTTTGTCTCAGCTGAACTTGTGTCCAAGATGCAAGGCAAGCAGTTGGTAGAACTTGCAGGCAGCATCTGTTAATACTTTGGCATCGTGATAAACACCCCGTCTTTCCTCTTTTGTGGCAATCCTTAGGGTTTTGTGTGGAGTAGATCCAGGAATTGCCCCTCAATCATTCAAAATTATTTGTCGAATGCACGAGTGGCGAAACCAGGAATGCAATGCCTATGCGGAAAATTATTTGTTTTTTCTTATGATGTGTTGTTGTGTACTACGGAGTACTCCCTATGTGTGTACAACAACCAAGTCAATAAAATCCCACAGAATGGAGTCTCGAGTAGAGAGTTGTGTACTACTCTGTACATGCATATGGAAATTAGAGAGTAGAGTTGTGTACTACATAAAAAGATATTGTTTCCATTTCTCAAGATAGGGTATTCTCATTTTAGTTGTTTATCTATCTGAGCTTGATTATTAATTTGTGTATGACCTTTGTAAAGCGGAAAGTGTGGCATCATTTTTTTCATTTAGGATATTTCACACCTAGTGTCTAACAGATATAAGTTATACTACATTAGTTCGATCATTGAGACATACAGGGATATTGATGAGAACGTGTTTTCTTCACCGCTAGACCAACATAGTGTCCTGGCATAAAATTTATTTTTTAATTCCATATCAAGAAAGTTTTCCCGATTTGCAAGCTGTGTCATCACCTACTACTAAAGTAGGAGAGAAGTCGCTACTAGATCATATGCAAGCACCCCACTGAGATTATCTCCTCCTCGTGCTGGTGTCATATATCCCCCCACCCCCTAATTCTTCACCCAGACTTTTAATATCCGGCAACACTCATTCCTGTCTAAGAAATCCATCTCTGGCTAGCAACCCTCCACGAAACTCATCTCCAGTTGACTCCCCACCCCAAGCTCCTCCCCAACAGGTACCCGACCCGATCCTAGAGTTCCTTAAGATTCTCTCAACAATGAAGAAAACTCTGGACGATCTATGGAAAAAATATGCCCAGTTAGTTTAGCTTAATGAAGACTACAATACTGTCCGTTGGACCCTGAGCCAGCTTGCATCTTACGGGTAAAGCTTTGCGTGGCCAACCCATTTTCTGGACATTTTGGGGTGTTGGGTTTGAGCGTCGCCTTCCTTGGTGATATCATTTTGATTTGTTTGCCAATCTAAGCGCAGAGTGTTTGTTATTTCCTTCACAGATTTAAAGCTTTGAAAAAAGACTTGGAAATTTTATAGAGGAAGAGGGCCACTTTGGATCTTCATTTCACTACTTGACTAAAAAGTCAAACTGTGACATTTTTTTTTAGAATAGAAGAAGTAATTTCTTTTATAGTTTTTACATTTTAATCTTAGCATTTAAGATCAACAGACCTTACCCCTACTCGAAAGTAGAGAGGCTGTTTCCAAAGAGACCCCCGGCTCAACGTCGAAAGTTGCATTGCTTGACTAACTGCTACTTCAATAATTAAAGAAGCGCAGACTGTTTAGAGATTCAAACTTCATATTTTGACAGACATTTGGGATATATTTGCACCTCTTGGCGTGTTTTTGACCAACCGTTCAAACATGAGTAGGCATTTTTTTACTTTTACATTTTATAATTCAATAGATAATTCCTTGAATCCCAAGATCTGAGCTTTGCAAACAAAATGTGGGTACACATAACACATCTGGTGATGTTTGTTTGACAGTTCTGGCATTTGAGAGAGTGGCCTCAGGCTGGCATTTGCATTTGCACTCACATACCTATTCCATTAAGGGTGATGACAATTCTGCGTGGGGTAGCTTCATCGCGGTGCTCACAAAGCCATATTCCCTGCGGCCATAGAAAGAAGGAAAGCAAATCCATCAGCTCACGAATGTCGTCCACCATTTGAACTTAATTCCAAATGGAACTGTGATACAAATAATGATATCATATCGTTCCTTACCTAAACTTGGAGTTGAGGAACTAATGAGCTCCCTAAATTTATGTAAACATTAAATGACTAATCTGAAACCAAAACCTTTTTTTTTCAAAACTAGTTATTCTCTTGTACAAAAAAAACTAGTTATTCTCCAATCTATACGACATGAAAAAAAGGAAGTCGCCACATAACAAAGATAATAAGATATTTTAGCTTCAGAATTAGCATCACAAATGCCAACAAAAACAACAACAACAACAACAACCAAGTAGAATCCCACAAAAAGCATCACAAATACCAATGAGAACAATCAGACACATCTAGAGATCTTCCCTCCGCCATCACCACCTAGTCCTATAAGACCATCTAGCGGTGTCATTTACAACAATATGGTGTATGGTTGCATGGCTTGCATCACTACCACACAGTCCACACAACCTACCTGATTACCCAAATGCCAGGTAGCTACCAAGTCCTTATAAACAGGCTATACCTATTGTGAAGTCAGTATGTGATCTAGGAATTTTAAGAGAGCATTTGGTCACCAAAAAGGGATAAGCGATCTACATGTAACTTGTTTCCTGAAACCCAATGGTTACTGATGTGTTCCAAAACTCGCTACTGCACACAAATTATACTACTGTGCAATCAAAGACATCATTAACCTTCCTTGATATGTCACGTTCATCTTACAACATACCTGCCATGTCCCCATGTTTAGCTTTCCATCTGTTATGGGTATCCTACAATATCCAAAGTAGATATTGATGAAAACTTTGAGCAATAAGGTGTGCAAGAATAACAACGTAAGATACACATACATGAGGGAACAACCAAACATTGATGACTTAATGTGAGCAGGCATGTCATCAGGACCTGCAAAAGTTATACAAATTCAAATACAAGATTGTTACTTCACATAGATTTAAAAAAGAAAACCATGTACAGAGAAATTTCAGGGATTCATTAAAACCAAGTGGAGAAGAGAAGGGTGGTCAGACTCGTGAGTTGGTGTGTAGAAATGATCATGATACGCTGAGGCATAGGAACATGACTGTGGTGGCAGTGTCAACAAGAGATATGCAAAACAGAGCATATCAAGAAAGCACAAAAACTATTTTTTGAATAGTTTTGTCATGCATTGGGCAGGCATCTATTCTTATATAGCAGGGGTATTTACACTAGAGAATTATTTGTTACGCTACCATGCACGGTAATTAGAATAGAAAGAATTTTTGGATTGCATTGTTGCTTGGAGGGCAGGTACGTTGTCTATGCCGAGAGACCCCTAGTTGTCTTCCTTGTAGGTAACTAACCATGGGAAATTCATTTAAGTGCCAGCCCGCGAAAATGGTGCCTATTTGTTGCCTAGGCAACAGCATGATAGCATAGTGTATGGCAAAAAGTCCGTGCACAGTTTTAATTCACAAAAATAAAATCTAGAACATAGGGGGCCTAACACATCCTATTTACAACTTCGAGATTAACAATTATTTATTACGGAGTACCTTTCAAGCATCACCAGGGATATAAAATTGGGTCTTTGAATCATATTTGTAAATCACCAAGAATAAAGTTATTTTTTTTAAGGTAGCTGTACACCATCTTGAACTAGATTGACATACAGTTTCTGGATACATATTAGGTATAAGGCATCACTAGGAACATGTTTAAATAAAGGGCCTTTGTAAATAATCAAGAATTTCCTTTCAATTCCTTCCATATACTCAACACATATAGATTTTAAAAAAAGAAGCAGTGGTACACTACATAAGTAGGAAAGTATGTGGGGAAATGAAGAATCCACAAAGAACTAAATAAAGCACCAAACCCACACCTTCCAGCGTATGTTTCCAAGGAGCAGAATTGCCCTGAAAGGAAATGTTGAAAAAGCACGTAGTTAGTGGGAGGGAGCGGCAAATGAAGCTGAAACACTGAGGGTCCGTTTGGTATAAAGAATTGATGGAATTGGAATTGAATTGAAATTGAAATTCCATGGGATACAATTCCATAGAATTGAATTCACCAATTCCAATTCATTTTTTACACTATCAATTCCAAATCCACATGGTTTTTGTGCTACCAAACTCCAGAATTGGAATTGAAGTCCTCAATTCCAATTCCATAATTTGAATTCCGTGTACCAAACGGGGCTGAGAGTGAAATGAAAGAAACAACCTCTGGAACAATGGTGCTCAGAAATGTCTCGGTGTCCTCTCGAACATCTGAGTCATAATTTTCATTGATGGTCAGAGAAGCACTGGTATGTTGCACTGTGGATGGATCAGAGTTTTCAACAAGACACAGGTGTAAGCTTCCCCACTAGAATATGGAGTAGGTAGGAAAATGAAGGAGTGATGAATGTAACATACAAAAAAGATGAGCAAGGCCGCATTTGAATGAAGAGAGATCATGCCCTATTTCTTTCAGAATCTGTAGGTGCAAGAGAAACAGACAACACATCTTATGGCATCGGCTTTGGAAAATAATAAAGAATTCAAAGACAGTCAAATGTGAATGCAGGGAGGAAGCAATTAAAGATGGAAGATACATAAATATATGGAACCGAATTGAAAGAAGAGGGAATGAATGGATGGATGAATACTGAATTACTGAGAGTAAGGAGATAGACAGAGAGAGAGAGAGAGAGAGAGAGAGAGAGAATGAGGGGGTAGTAGGGACCTTAGAGGTAAGGAGGTGGCAGCCCCGTGGAAGAGGGGGGATGGTTATGGTTTTCTGAGCCCACCTGCTGTTGTTGTTGAGTGGAGATGCGGATGCCATGGATGATGATGATGATGACGATGATGATATGGAAATACGATTAGCAGAAGAAGAAGTAGCAGCAGGAAGAGGAGGAGGTGAGTGGGATGATGGTGATGATGATGGTGATGATGATGATGAAAGGATCCTCCTTATCCACTGCCGCCTAATTCCCAAGTGGTGCTGTACTGCTACCGCTTGCATCCTCCTCCCCTCTCCACCCTGTAGCGGCGAAGCATTTAGGAAAAAGGGCACAAAAGGGTTGGAATGTACTATAACAATGCCCTCCCTAATAAGAGATCTAACATAAATATGATGTTATTTTTTGAAGTTCTAGTCTAATCTAATCAAATTTGATCAGGTACGATTTAGTCAGATTTGAGATTTGATTGGATATGATTTAATCTAATCTGATTGGATCTGATCTGATATAAATTTAATTAAAATTAAAGTTATTATAATTATAATAATAATAATAATGGTAACAATAATAAGAATAATAATATCAATATTAATAGTAATAATAATAATAATAACAATAATAATAATTATAATCATAATATTAATAGTAATAGTAGTAGTAATAGTAATAGTAATAATAATACTAATAATAATGTTAATAATAATAATAATTTTGTTTAAATATGATCTAATTTGATTAGATCTGTTCTAATTTGGTCTGGTCTGATTATAATAAAAATAAGTAATAAATAGAAAAAATAAATTGAATGGAATGTTGCCTTAGTGTCTCGGTTTCATTCACCTTAAATATATCAATTTTGAAAAAGAAAAAGAAAAGAAGGTTTTTATTAGAAATCAGAATTTCATATACTTTTTCTTTTTTAAAATATGATATGTGGTCTAAAACAATTACCCATAGACCATAGTAATATGGAGAAAAATAATTGCCCGGATTAATACGGTAAGGTTATATTAATACTCATTTTAAGTGTCAAATTATAACACTTGTCAAATTAAGTTCCCTACAATGCTTCACTCGAAACTTCAATGGTTCCTGCCCCAATCTCTCGTTGAATCTTCTCACCTCGGCCTGAACCAGCCCTCCATTCCCATCAATCAATTGCGTCCCCCATTTTTGTTGACTCTTAGGTAAATTTTATTGACCAACTAAAATTAGGAGCTCAATTTACGGAAGTGACAAAATGATTAGCTTTGAGAATGAGATGCATAAAAAGTTCAATTTGACTAATAGCGCTCCAAAACGAGTGTGGTGATAAGCTTTGCAATGTTTTTTGCAAATTTTAATAGCTCATTTTAGTAAGCAAAGGAACACCGCCCCGAAGACACTCGAAGTTGGATCCCATTCATCAGTAAAGTAAAGGTGTAAAACATAGCTTCTCACTTTCTCAGCAATCTGCTGCATGCACAACAAGTCAACAACACATCACCATTTTCATTTATTATTATTATTGTTATTATGCACATGCAACTGCACACACCAAATGAGTACAAAATTCCCAAAACCATCTTTTTTTTTACCCCCCACAAGGGAATAATAAAAATTTGAAAAACAAAAGGCGTCAAACAACAACCAATAATACAATTATGTGGAGTACATTCATTCATTCATTCATATCCAACAAAGACAAGAAAAAGAAACTGAGAGAACCGCAAGCATTTGATTCCCTCCCTCCCTCCCTGTGCAGAGATATCATATTGATACAACAAATACTTGACTTCCCATCATCATCATATACGCAGCTTTCAATTCTCTGGTGTGGTTGGTGCCAAAAGAAAGAACGAAACATGATGATGATGATGATGATGATCTTCCTTTCATTCCTTCTTCTTCTTCTTCTTCTTAGCTCACTGGCTCACATGTCCCATTCATTCCTCTCTCTCTCTCTCTATCTACAGCAAACACACATTCATTCAATCATTCAATCATTCATTGGTGTTGAGGCATGCATGCAGGTGGCAGGCAGCACTTGGGTGACATCCTTGCTGGATCTGTTGTATTTCATGTGACTCTTCACCAGCTGCCCCGATGCTATGGCTGACATCAACGACAGTTCCCCCGCCATGACTGAACCCGCAATGATCGTTGCCAGCACCCGCGAGTTCCCCCCCGGCGACTCCTTGCACGCCCCCTTCACTCCTAGCAGGTTCAGGCACGCTGCTTGCGAAGCTAGCTGCGTCCCTCCCCCGATTGTACCAACCTGTGGGCCCCACAACATCAAAACCACGTTTTTTCCTTGAACCATTAGGCCCCGTTTGGTACACGGAATTGATGAAATTGGAATTGAATTGGAATTAAAATTCCATGGGATTCAATTCCATAGAATTGAATTCACCAATTCCAATTCATTTTTTGCACTACCAATTCCAAATTTACATAATTTTTGTGCTACCAAACATGAGAATTGGGATTGAAGTCCTCAATTCAAATAGTTTGAATTCCGTGTACCAAACGGGCCTTAGGGTAAATCTATTTTTATGGATTTCATCCAAAGTTCTCCATGATGGATGATGATAGCAGACTGGTCTTTACTACCATTAGCTTTCCAGAATGATGGATGGATGGCTTAGTTTTGTGATAGTGGTGCAGATTAACTTTGAAAAATGCTAAAGTTAGACGGAAGACAAAGACTACATACCTCAATGGAGGGCATGGTGACAGAGACATGAAGATCCTTCCCTTCATTCACAGCCTCCATCATGGTGATGCAATGAGAGCTCTCTATGTTCTGTGCTGGATCCTGCCCCGTGGCTATGAAAACTGCCGACACTATATTAGCAGCGTGTGCATTAAAGCCGCCAAGAGAACCGGCAATGGCTGAGCCAGTAAGGTTCTTAAGCATGTTCAGCTCTACCAGGGAATGCACTGTGGTTTTTAGCACCTTCTTCACCACCTCCTCCGGTATGACTGCCTCACACACTACCGACTTTCCACGCCCTTCAATCCAGTTCACAGCTGCAGGTTTTTTATCTGAGCAGAAATTCCCTACACCAAGAGCGATGGAGGAATGTATATATGTAAATATAATGGCAAGTGTTCAAAAAATTTGAAATTATCGATCAAATTACTACTAGTATAACAAGCATGGCTTGGCATGTTCTCACCAGAGATACCGATGACATCCATGTCTGGGAACTCGTTGAGAAGAAAGTCCAGAACATTCTGGACACCTTTGGACACCATATTCATCCCCATCGCATCCCCCGTGCTGCAGCTAAATCTTATGTAAAGATTCTTCCCAGCAATCGAGCACTTTATCGTCTGCAGTCTAGCAAATCTACTAGATCTGTATTATTCAAGCAGAGAATAGCTAAAGTGTTAGCCAAAATATTATCCAAGCAGAGTATTATCCAAACTGAAGAATTGATAGAATGAAAACAATATTTAAAAACAAAGGAAGAAAGAAAGAAAGAAAAAAGAAACATCTTTGATGCTGCCAAAGAATTCAACAAGTAGAGAGCATAAAATTTGAAACTTGCCCAAGCAAAAGCTCAGAGTGTCATGATTTCTTCTTATAAATATTTTTTTTTTGCCAATTAAAAGGAATCCCATTTTTATTGTGTGAACTGTCTGCCATATATAGGATTTGTCCCAAAAGGACAAAGAAAAAAAAAGGAAAGACTTTTGTTGCCGTATTTTGCAAATGCAGAGAATGCCTTTCCACAAATTGCAGTGCCTAGAGTGAGTTATGTGGTAACCCTTTGAATGACGATTATATCATCATAGGCTGCAATATTCAAAAATCCAATTGGAATCGTTTACAGATTGAGCAGAAAAAAGATGCCTTTGATCATTATCAATATCATATTCGGAATTCCCCCAACAACAACGACATAAATCAATGTCGTCATCAAACGACCAATCATTTGAATTTACAACCAAAAATGGAAAATTTTGATGACACAAAGAATAACAATGCTTCAAATGGCATAAAACAAAAACACCAAAAAGATGAAAGGACGAAAGTAAATGCTAAAAAGACGAGAACTTTGCTCCTATGAATGAAGTATATAAAGAGAAAAGCCCAGCAAACAAAGAGACTTACTTGTTAAAAACCATAGCCAGAGTCTCAAAATTGAGGGGATCCTCCAAGAAGAACTTCAAATTGGCGGCCCTCTTGGCGGTCTGGAACCTCACAACGGGTGCCCTGGTCATCCCATCCCTCAGAAGAACACAGGTGGCTCCACCAGATGCATATATGGCTTTGCACCCTCTGTTTGTGCTCGCCACCAGGCAGCCCTCCGTCGTGGCCATGGGCACCGTGTACTCGCAGCCGTTGAGCAACAGGGGCCCCGCAACCCCGACCGGGATCTGCACGTACCCCACCGGCATTTCACAGCACTGCCCCAAAATCGAAGCGTAATCGAACCCCTCCAGGGGCAGGCCGGAGAGAGACCTCCCCGTGAGTCTCTGCACCGCCTCGCGGCGGACGGAAGCTGCCTGGTGACAATCTCCGAGCCTGGATTCCAGAGAATACGAAGGGATTTCGCCCGACACGACCTTCTGCACCAGCTCCTCCTCCTCGTCGGGGGAGGAAAGAGGATTCCGGTGAAGATCCACCACTTTAGAAACCGGGGTGGGTGTGCGGATGCTGCAATCGAGGGATGCCGGGCGGCGGCTGCGATCTTGGCCGATCATGAAGCGGGGCGGCTCGTCTTCTCCCTCCACGTCATCCCAGGAATCGGGGGAGGCGCGAGAGATGAAAGACTGGACGAAGTCAATCCCGAAGAAGCCAAGGAGGTAGATGAAGGAGGCGATGAGGGAGACAATGGCGGCGAGTTCTGAGAGGGTGACGACGTGGAGGGGCGTAGAATTGCGGATCTTGTCGCGCCAGCGGTGGAGGAGGAAGTAGGCCACGGAGAAGAAGAGGGTGAAGAAAATGCCGTTGGTTAGGTAGAGGGGGAGCGGGAGAGCGTCGGATGCCTTGGGGGTGGGAGAAGGGCAGCGATCGACGGCGGAGGAAGGCTTCCGGTGGAGTTGGTGGTGGTGGACGGCGGGTTTGGGATGTCTCTGGCGGATGTCCATGAGGGAATATTCCGGGCGAGAGGCTTCAGAATTATGATGGAAGAGACAGCAGCGGCTGCCTCTCTGGTTCCGTACTCCTTTCTCTCTGGAAAAAGCAAAGGCTGGATTGAGACGGGAGTGGAGGAACGGCGAAATAGGAACAATCCAAACTCCTTAAATACTCCCATCCCATTATTATTTTTCCTCCGTTCACACCCCTCACATAATATTCTTACTTACTTAGGCTAGCTTATGTCTCCTTCCTTGATAGTGATGAGAATTCAATTCGAACTCGACCTTAACCGATCCAATTAATCATTAAAATATTTGAACATGAATCGAGAATAAAATGATTTGAATTCGACCCGAAATTTTTTTTCCGAACCCGCACCCAACCCGATTCAAATTCGAATATTTTATTATATAAAAGCTTATGTATCGATATAATGGACACTCCGTATAATCTCTTGACAAGATGCTACTATATCAAGTACGCCTTTTATAATTATTTCTATAATTCCTTGATAAAAAATGAGACACACAAAAATTAGATTTAATCTTCTTAAAATTATTGGAGTACGTTGAATTGATTATTGGTTAAATTTCAAATTCGGGTTCGAGTTCGGGTTTAAATGTCGGATTCGGGTCAGGTTAGGTTTTTTGCTTAAAAAGTTGGGTTACGGGTTGGGTTTGGGTTTCTATTATAAAATTCTGGTCGAATTCGAGTATAGTACTATCCGATTCGAATCCGACCCGTTGTCATCCCTATTCTTCAAGTCCAATCGGGTCGGGATTTGAGATGTCGGAAGGAATATTCCACTCTTTTACCAAAAAGAAAAAAAAGAAGATTATCCTCACACCTTTTTTAAAGCGGACTTTGAATATAGATGAGTGCAAAAAATTAAAGCATACACCTCTTACTTACAAAAAAATTCATAATTGTCTCAGTACAATTGTCATTAATTAAACTCGAATATATCTTTTTGAAATTTTATTATTTTTGCAAACAGTGTCTACCAATATCTCATTTTTTAAATTTGGTTCAATCTAATCTTAGATATATATGATTGGATTAGTATGCTTTGAATAGATTTTTTTGAATTGACACAATGTTAAATATGCTTTGGGTAGTAAGTATTACTTCTCCGTGTCTTCAAAAAAGCATTACTCCGTGTTTTTTGAGTGTTATTAATATCAGAGGAGGCTGATTTGGGCCTGAAAATTAGAGAGCAGCTTGAAAGGAACGCACGAACCACTATTTCTAAAACAACCATAGAGAGGAGAGAGAGAGGGGCCGAGTAGAGAATTATGGGCCGGTTCGGCAATGAGTCCAACAAGATCCGCACCGCAGGCAGCACCACGTGTTTAATCACGGGGACAATTTGACCCTACACATGTTACGCCACCTGCCACAATAGTGAAAGTACTAATCATCGTCTCCTGTATTGATTTTTTCTAAAAAATCGTTTTTAACTTTGATACGGAGTATATACTTAGATAAAATATATACTCCCTCCGTCCCACTATATTTGTCCACTTTCATTTTTATACATCATCCAATGTACTTCTTTAATCCATTTTATCTTGTAATTTATATATTAAAAAATTATAGAAATTATATATTAATAATCTATATGTTAAGACAAATCAAACAAGATCACACATGACTATATTTAGGCTTACACATTGAGAGAATTTGATGAGTCAAAGTGCTTAGATGAACAGTTTCAAAAGTCAAAAGTAGACGAATATAGCGGGACGAAGGTAGTATTATATATTAATTACTTCCTCCGTCCCAGAGTATTTGTCCACTTTCATTTTTACACACCATCCAATACACTTTTTTAATCCATTTTATCTTGTAATTTATATATTAAAAAATTATAGAAATTATATATTAATAATCTACTTCCTCCATTTGCAAAAAGACTTCCTATTTTGATTTGAGGCAAAAATAATGAAGTGTTAAATTATAGTTGATTTCCAATTTTTCCCCTGATATGATGGGTAAAAGTAAGATGTGATGGATATATTATTAGAGAAAAAGTATGATGTGATAGGTAGGGTATGAAAAAATAAGGGTAAAAGTGGTTTGTTAATAGAAAGGGGAAGTGTTTTGTTGGAAGTGAAAAAATGAAAGAGGAATTATTTTTGAGAACGGAGGGAGTATATGTTAAGATAAATCAAACAAGATCACACGTGACAATATTTAGGCTTACACATTGAGAGAATTTGACGAGTCAAAGTACTTAGATGAATAGTTTCAAAAGTCAAAAGTGGACGAATACTCCGTGACGGAGGGCGTATATAAAATGATGCTCTGACAGTTTATATAATAAATCTTATAAATCTATTTTTGTATAAATATCTATTATCATTTTATTTAATTTGAGATCGGTGTCTACTAATTTTGATTAAAGAAAAGTTAAATGTACACAAATATTTCTAAAAAGGATAGTCATTTTTTGTTATGTGTCTCTTTCCTTCATGGATAAAGCTATTTGTACCCCAAATTTTTGTACCTCACTTTGTATCCTGCAGGTTTGCACTAACGCTTTGTGTTGGTGTAAAACTAATTTTTGTTAATGCATCAACATTTTCAATCCGTGTAAATTTTTGTTAACGCACCAATACTTGTGTCGTTGTAAATCATCAAAATGTTTGTGTATAACTACGGTGTATAAATGGAATATAATTTGTGGTGTAAGTGTAGCATGGCCCTTCCTTCATTCATTCATTCATTCCACTTTTCCTCCTTCCATGCACACACACACCCGCTACATTTCATTACCTTCTTCCACGTTTACACTTAATTCCATGTACGTGTATTCCATGCATTCTTCCATTTCATTTCTTTTATTTTTTTTTCTCAAAATTTTAAATGTATTAGTATATTAACCTCTCATGGGTGAACCAGTTTTCTTTTTTTAAATTTTTCTTCGCTATAGCATTTTAAAAAACAAAAAAAATAATGGTTTGTTAAAAATAATGGTTAAACATACGGAGTATAATATTTGTTAATGAAAATTTAACGATACATATTTAAAAATTAACATGTCAAAATCTTATTTAAATTAGAATATTTTAAAAATTTTCGAGGTATACAACATTGTTTGTCATGTTATAAAGACTATGAAAAACATCTAAAACTAATAGAGTAAATTTCATAAAAGTTCTCAGTTATAGTTTATTTTATACATTTGGTCCTTACATATCAAATAGCAATAATTTAGTTCCTAATTATTACGGAGTATATTGTTTTCCACTGCACGAATAGTCCTTTGTTAACATTTCCGTTAAAAATGTGGATAAAATTGTAAGTTCACGTTCCTCTCTCTCCTCAATTAAGCTTCCTTCCTCCTCTCGCATTCCTTTTCCAAACCCGCCACTGAGTTTAATTTGAAGCTCTAAATCCAAAATCAAAACGACCACTCCTCTCTCAATTGTTCATCTTCGTGGTGGAGCCCAAAATTGAAACTAATAATCTTCATGGATGAGTTTTATGGGTTAGTCTAAGAAAATTGCAAAGAAAACGAACATTAAAACTCATCCATGAAGGTTATTAATTTCGATTTTGGGTTCCACCAAGAAGATGAACAATTTAGAGAGGAGTGATGATTTCGATTTTATGTTGAAAACTTTAAACTCAACGACGGGTTTGTAAAAGGAATGTGAGAGGAGGGGAGAAGCTTAATTGAGGAGAGAGAGAAGCGTAAATTTACAATTTTATTCATGTTTTTAACGAAAATGTTAACAAAGGACCATTCGTGGAAAACGATATAATAATTAGGGACTAAATTATTGATATTTGATATGTATGGACTAAATATGTAAAACGAACTATAATTGATGACGTTTTATGAAATTTACTCAAACTAATACTTTCAACCTTACTGTTACTCTCGCTCGCGAAACAATAATATAAACTTAATCATAAATGAATACCGTCTTGGTAAGAAATAATCTTATAAATTACAATGTTTGGTCTAAATTTTTATTTATAGTCATAACAAAACATAAATTATTAGAAATGGTATTATTTAAGATTTCAAGAATAATTTTGTATGAAATGATACATTAATCATTTAGGCGGTGTAAACCTTATCTATGACTTTATTTCATAATACTACAATTGCACCGAAAAAGATTTTTCACGACTTGTCAACGATTAACTTTATACTACTCCGTATTACACAATTGAGATGGTTGTTCAATGTTCTTTAAAATATAATGAGTATAACTTTTTTCAAATTAAAAATTAAAATTAGTTTGTGCTTTAAGCTTTCCAAACATTTGTTCTAATTCATAAACTCAAATTTTTTACAATCACTATTAATGATTAAACTATAATTTCTGCCACCCCATGCATTAGTTTAGGTTAGTGAAGTTATTTCATCTCCCAACACTACTACTACCTCCGTTCCTTAAATATTTGATAAAATAATATAGTCTTGTCACCACTAGTTGTTTTATAGAACTTTTGATGTATTTTTTAAATATATAAATTTTATTTTTTAATTTTACACTTACGATCAAATAAATTAAATTGAAAATGAAATCGTTCAAGCCTCGTAAACACAAACGAAAAGAACATTATAGGAAGGAAAGAGTATTTCATAAATAGTCTTTAATTTTTAAAATTATTTCACAAATTATTCTTTGCACCAAATGCGACAAAATATTTTAAGTAAATTCTTAAGGTGTTCCTTTCTAATAAGTTTTTTTTGGAAGTAAGTAAAAATTAATAATGGAATATTTTATGATTGAGATATGTTTCTTAAATAGTCATTTATCAAAAATACTTATTGCTTATTAATGATAATTAAATAAAGAGATTTTTTATTATCTAAATTATGAATATGTTTTTGAAATAATTTTTTATAAAAAATATAAATGTGGATTTGTTTGCAAGTGAGAGTGGAATAGTGTGTTTATGACTGGATTTTTTTGATGCTTCTTATATCACATGTTTTTTTTATCAGCAAAGCTGGAGATACGAAGGCAGCTAAAGCACTGGAGACGAGGTTGAGCTGACAGGGTGGCTTAGATTACCTGAGTGACGAGCTGATTTCACTAAATTCAGGTGGCCCCGCCCTCTTGCGCTCTTCTATGTGTGATGTATTCAATGTCTATCCCATCTTAGGGACTGTTTGTTTCAGCCTCTTAATGGTTTAGATGTCTGAATGGTTCAGCACTTAATGGTTCAGACTGTTTCTTTCAGCCTCTTAATGGTTCAGATGTCTGAATAGTTAAGAGATTTGCCTCTGAGTATTATACAGAGTCTGAATGGTTAAGACCTCTTATCTGAATTGATCAGACATTTGCCTCTGAATAGTTAAGCAATATACTAGCTCTTAATGGTTCAGACCTCTTACTTGTTCAGCACTTAATGGTTCAGACCTCTTACTGGTTCAGACCTCTTACTGGTTCAGCACTTACTCATTCAGAAGTTGCCAAACAGCCCCTTAGATTTCTAATCTGCTTTATGATTCTGTGTTTTCAAATTTCAATTCATAATTTGGAGCTTGAATTTGAGTTTTGAATAAAAGCATTAATTCTACAAAAATCGGGGCTTCAATAGCCTATTCCTCTATATGGATCTTTGGTTATTGGCTTATTGCCACCATGCTACGCATAAAAAATTTAGCATTGCTACCACATTTAGGCCAAATTTTAGATTTTTAATACGCAGTATTAATTTGAATGTTTGAATTGAATTTAAATTCAAAAAAAAATGGAAACGTTCAGATTTAGTGTTGATTTTCTATCCTATACTTTGTCCAACGTGTTATTGATGATTTTTTTTGAAGTATATCTATAGTGTATTGCTCTATATGCATTCATTAGTTTTCAATTGTGGTATTGCTTGTATTTAATTCAAGATTTGTGTAGGTAAATCATGTAATGTCCAAAACTTTACTGTGTTTATGTTTATTAATTATTTTAAGAAAACTGAATAATAACTTAAAGTGCAATATCCACAAGTTGTTGTAATTATTTGTCCAAGAAAATTCTAGTTTCAACAAAGAAGCTTAAAGAGTATGCGCTCTAAACTTTAATCTTTTTCTTATGATAAGTTTTATTTTAATTGCATTTCAATTAAACTAAATCTCTAATATTTTTCTATCGCACAGGGTCCCATATATCAGAGGATCGGTTGGCTTAAGTGTACTGCTTATAAATTATTCACCATCACCAGTCATACTTCATACGAGTATTATAGATATACCATCAATTGGAACTTATATTAGATGAGTATGTCGGGTGAGGAGAAGAGGGTGTGTGTGACGGGGGGAGGAGGGTACATTGCTTCGTGGTTGGTTAAGCTTCTCCTCTCTAAGGGATACGCCGTTCATGCCACTATTCGTGGAGACCCTGGTATGTATGTGTGCATTTGCACGCACACCCATTGAACAGTTACATCATTATAAATTCACTTGCTTGTAGTTGTGTGTTCAACTGTATAGGAGATGTGGTGAAGTATGGTCACTTGAAGCGAATGGTTGCAGAGGAGGAGGGGAAACTTGAGGTGCTGAAAGCTGACTTGTTGGACTACGACTCGTTGGTTGCGGCTATTGCTGGCTGCACGGCCGTGTTCCATGTTGCTTCTCCCGTGCCTTATGGCCCTGTCCCCCCAACCCATGCTCAGGCAAGCTAATTTAATTACTCAACTCTCTCATCTTATGTTTTATTCGTGAGTCTCTTGGAAACGACCTCTCTACTAATTACCTATTAGGGGTAAAATTTGGTTACATACTCTCTCCTGATCCTACTTTTTGAGAGATTTTTCCGAGTTTGTTGTTGTTGTAATCATCTTGTCTTATGTTCCTGTGCCCCTGTTTGACTACCTTAATTTTCAAGGAAGGGTTGTTCGTTAATTCTATGTAAATGTATTGCATATGTGAAGAAAGAACTGCTGGAGCCTGCTGTGACGGGGACACTGAATGTGCTGAGGGTCTGCAGCAGTTCCGAGTCAAATGTGAAGCGCGTAGTGATTGTATCTTCAGTGGCAGCTGTGTGCGAAAACCCTAAATGGCCCCTTCATAAACCAAAGGATGAGACGAGTTGGTCTGATGAGGACCACTGCACTCAAACAAATGTACGTTCTTGCTACGTACTTGTTTATATGAGTTCGTGTTAAATACACGGTCATATCTATATATGTGTATGCATGCAGAGTTCGTATTGTCTTTCGAAAACATTGGCAGAGAAAGAAGCATTCCGGTATGCACAAGAAACAAGCCTTGATGTCATTTCCCTTTGCCCATCACTTGTTTTCGGCCCAATCTTGCAGCAGACACCCAATGCTAGCACCTCAGTTCTCCTTCGTCTTTTGAAAGCAGGTTCTTACTAATGTACTATACCACACACACTATTATTATTATTATTATTATTATTATTATTATTATTATTACTATGTGGAACCTATTTCTGGGACAGACTGACAGAGGGAGTAATTTTGAAGGCTACTACTGCATCTTACCTCTTCTTTTTTTTCTCAGAGGGACAAACAGTTGACAACAAGACACGTATTGTGGTAGATGTGCGCGATGTTGCTGAAGCACTGGTTCTCATCTACGAGAGGCCCGAGGCTGAGGGTCGATACATATGCAACGCGCACACAGTAAGTGTTGGGGAGATTGTTGAGATGTTGAAGACAATGTATCCGAACTATAATTACCCCAAAAGGTACATACATGTGTGTGTGTGTGTGTGTGTTAGAGCACAATTAAAGTTCTTAAGGTTCTGCTGCTTGAATTGCAGCTTCAGCACGACGAGAGAAGGGGAGAATGACAGGGTGAGTTCACAAAGGTTGCAGGGGCTGGGCTGGTCTTATAGACCACTTGAAGAAACTCTCAGAGATTCTGTAGAGAGCTACACACGAGCTGGCCTCCTGGATTGACTGAATATCTCCTCCTTAATCTTTGGACCTTAATGCACATTGATTCTCTCTGGACTCTGAAACTAATGATGGGATAAAACGGGTGCTTATATTATTGGGTGAATGGTTTAATTATGTACTTGCAATGTTACATGTAGCATCTCATTTGAGAAATACTCCTTATATAAATAATAATAATAATAATGTCAGTGCTCCTTGAGAACCAAATATTTAGGTGTAGTAGTTAGCCTGTGCTTGGTAAACTCTTCTTTCTCATTCAGTGAAACTTTGCTAAATTGGTACGCACCCTCCAATTACTTTTGTCACTTTTCAAGGACATTCAAGTCAAAATATTTGTGGTTTAATAACAAAAAGGGCCATTTGATGCACAACTTGTCTTTCTGATTAAATGACCAAATACTCTGTATTATCTTAGCAATGTATACACAGATGATTATAATAAAAGTAGTGTGTTATTTTCTTCTTGTATTTGAGTTGAAATAGGTAAGGTAGAGATAAACATGTCTACCCTCATACTCTTCTTTTAGATATTTGTATTTCCTTCAATTCATTGAAGATTTTTTTTTAATGCCCTTTTAAATTCTAGACCCAATCCACTGCTTCAGCCATATTTGATTTTACAAAAAAAAAACCCTTTTATATACTCCATATTATTTTGCACTAAAAAGGGTCTGACATGCGGCAGATGAAAGAGATAGAAGAAAAGTTAGTTCACAATTGCAGAATCAGCTGCTGTTTGCAGATGAGCTTAAGGTGCTGCTGGGGAGAAGAACTTGGAAGTGAATAAGAGGTCTGAATAAGTTCCCAAAAAGAAAAAACAAGTCTGAACAATACTACTCCCTCCGTTCCGATTTATATCGCCCGTTTTGACTTTGGGGTATATTTAAGGAATGGAAAAAATGGCATTGACCTTCCAAAATTGCCCCTCTATGCATTTTTTGTGTTTTTGATAAAAAAGAGTAAAGAACACAAATAAGGAGAAGAAAACCGCCACTTCTGGAGTAAAAACACAAACAAGCATTGCAAGTACAATAATCATTACAAATATCTAATCTAACACAAAACACATCAACACATCACATCTTTGTCTTGGAGGGAAAATTTCCCTCCATTTAATTACACAAATGCAAACAATACTTAAGGACTACATCCTGCACACTCAAGGAGTGCATCTGGCAAAAAAAAAATCTCTCCAATTCTTTAATTCTTCATTCCACAACATGAACAGAGATGCTGTCATGGCATCTTCAGTTCTTCATTCCACTCCATGTCTTCACCCACACACCTCCAGCAGTGCACCTGTCCAAGAAGAAGAAGAAGAAGAAGAAGAAGAAGAAGAAGAAGAAGAAGTGTTCCTATCAAACAAACCAAAAGAAATATGAACGACGTGGCACACATAGGTAAGGGCAGACTTGAGAGAGAAGGTACACTGCCAAACCAACTGGAGGTAAATGCAGAACTTTATGAGTCAAGTCTGTATGCCTTACAAGGTGTCCAAGGTAGAAATGGGGAAGGGAATGCATCAGGAACAATCTAAGTGATATCGTCTTTCAAATGTCTTTTGTTTACTATGTTCATCATATGCACTTTTTTTTGTTTCTTTTTTGGCAGTGTGTATGGACAGCCAATGTATGCAAACATTTTTTGGATTTTGGATGTATATATGGATAATGAACATGTTTGCTGCTATTCTGTAAATGGATGCCCTCTTTCTAAAACCTCCAAACACACAAGATACAGTGGGAGGATACATAAATGTTGCCTCCTGCACTAATCATGTGTGGGTGGCTGAAGTCCCAAAAAAAGTTATCAAAGCATCACAAACACTGCCCTAAATGACCATAAAGGTTACAAACACCAAGCACATAGTCCACGCATCACATTCGAGTGCAAATTGTCATCATTGGTTTCCCATATAATCTGAACTATAGAGTAATGCAAAGGAGGCACTTAATAAAAATATTCAACGCACATAAGAAAGAGAGGAATACTCCCCTAGAAGTCCTTGTGGCGCATCTTTGGATCCGAGAATAACAACTCTCATAGAACATCATCCCCTTCTTCGTAAATGTAGGAGTCAGAATCTGTGTCATCATCATCCTCCACATCCTCAACATCCACATCCTCTGTACTAGCAAGGGGGGCTGTATTAGCAACAGGGACATTAGTCTAATACGCCTCAAGCTTCTCTCGCACCAATGACAACTGTTTTTCAACGCGAATCTCATCAAAAACAGCTTCAAGCTCCGATTCATATGAATCTGGAGTGCTATAAGCAGATGAGAAATCATTTTCATCACTATGTTCATCCATGCCTTTGATTTGTAACAAAGGGCAAGAATACATAAATTAATTGATTAAATATGATAAATTTAAAAGAATTAAATAAAAATCCAGACCTACTAACCTTAGATGTCGAAAAGGATCAAATGTCCCTTAGATCTAAGTTTAGATCTAAGTTTCGTAGATCTAACATAGTTGAGATCTAAGTTTAGATCCGAATTCAACAATGAACGAAGAAGAAGAACATAGATTTGAGAAGGTGGAGGAGCGAGAGATCGAAATTGAAGTGCAGACGAGGAGCGAGATAAGGTTAACTGTTGAGCTTCATAGGAACTAAGAAGATTTGAGAAGGTGGGAGCTTCATAGGAACAGATAAGATTTGAGACGTAAATGGGAAAATGGGTTAAAGGGTGGGAGATGTAAATGGAAAAAAGGGTATTTTAGGAAGTTTGTTTATAAAATCTTACCAAAAATAGAAACAGACAATTTATTTTGGGACGGACGAAAAAGGAAAACATGCGATTTAAATTGGGACAGAGGGATTATTATTTTTTATTCTTTTGTAGGCAAATGTTGCCATTCGTTTTGTGATGCTCTATTTTTGTTGTACTTGATAAACAAGTTTCAAAAATCAAATAAAGAGTCAACATTATTTCACTATACCAACAAATCCCAAAAATATCATAAGCAATTAGAACATTGAGTATTATTTTTCAGCAATGGTCTCCCTTCCGAGCTGTTGAATCCGACCTAAGAAAAAAAAAGCATACATTTGTTCGTTACAAGGGAGACAAATTACACATGCAATGTTACACTACTCATTTCTTCGTATGCCTGTCTTCTCACTCTTTGGCTCTCTTCAGCAACAAACGTAAAGAGGGAAACCCCAAAGCAAAGGTCTGCCAGAACCAACCACACGAATTTGCAGCATCCACTTGCTTTGCAAGATGCCAGGCATATACAGCCTCGCCAAGGTGTAATGCTACGGCTACAACAAACAACAGCCGTAATGCCCCCACAGAGCGAAACACGAATAGTCCAATCCCTCTTACCAGTGGAATGGGCCCAAAGTCTGGCAGGTAAGCAGCACCAAATAGAGCAATCATTCCCCCCAATACAAGCACCCATGCAAGAAGGGTTGGCCCATCTAAGCTTCTTCTCTTCCTCTCCTTCCAATATGAGATTGTGGCAGCCATGCCCTCCTTAGGGGTCACCATTGGGGTGTATCCGAGCTCCTCTCTGGCTTTTAAATAGGAAAAGTAATGCGTCACACCAACCTGCCAAAAGAATAAACTATAAATCGAGCAGACTTTGCTTATATAGGCAAAAGTAGAGGCTTTTGACTTGTTTATTTTTCTGAAATGGTCGTTGTCAAACCCTTATACATCCCTTAATGTAGACTTACACTATGTTTGGTTCAAGGAATTTGAAAGGGAAAAGAAAAGAAAATGAAATGGAAAACCATTTTTCTTGTTTGGTTAGAGGGGAAAAGAAAGGAAAAGTGGAAGGAAAAGAAAATGAGGAGGCAAAATGTACCAAGTGGAGGGAAAATCAAATTCCTTCCATTTTGGTGAGGAAAATGAGAGAAAACCATTTTCTTTTCTTTTCCTTCCAAAATCCTTGAGCCAAAAAATAGTGTTAGAGAAACCATTCAGAAATGCAAAGTCAAAATAAGTGCAGTTGATTCTCAAAGAATAAACACAAACCTTGTTAACCTCGGCAGGAAGTATGAAGGGTTGAGGAAGCCATCTCTGATTTAGCCAAGGGTGCATGATGGAGTACAAAGCCCAAAAAAAGTTCCCGAGAAGAAGTGCTCGAGGGACAGCCAGTGACATCGTTGGCAGTTCATACCCCAGGCTTTTCAGCAGAGGGCGAAGAAACTCGAAACTGTTGATAGGAGACCCTACAGACCACAAAGGTAGCAAATAGTAAGATGATAAAAGGAAGTATTCCTTGAGAAACATGTGTTTTAGCTACATCGAGTGTATTGCCTTTCCCATTTCACTAACACGTTCTGCTATTTCTGGGATCCAAACATGCTTAAGAGTGTAGAGATTGAATACGAGTAATGGGAAAGATACCATCGGATATGAAGTAAGCTTGACCGGCAGCAACTGGCGTCCCTTCTTTGCCAGGGATGTCATCCAAAAGTCCAATACTAGCCAATAGAAGAGCCAAAACAAGGTTATCCACATAAACCCAATCTGTTTTCACATTTTCTGAACCTATCTTAAAAGGGAGTAGGCCCAATTTTGCAAAACCAATAATCCTCGGTAGGTGCCTTTCTTCACCAGGTCCATAGATAGCGGCAGGACGAATTGCGCATGTGTACAGACATTTCCGAGTCTCTTTACTGTGCAAAAGTGGGAATAAAAGAACCATTTTTTAGCAAATGCCGAGATTCAGACTCTCATCATTCTTTTCTTTTATTAAGTGATGAATTCAAGAAAAACAAATACTATAGACTAGACCGCTAAAGTTTCTTGATGATAGAACATGAAATCCTCGGAAGAAATACTCTACGTCTCAATAAAAAGAGTTGTGCTTTGTCAATGTACAACTTTTTAGGTTTGCTAAGTTACACTCTTGTAAATTATTGAACCTACTTCTGTTTTAAAACTTTACAAATTTAACTCATTTGGAGCACTTCTTAAAAGTCACAGTACACCGAATGCAGAATAAATTGCCTTTGTTGAAAGAAGATTCTCTTTGGTGAAAATTGAGACATGACCCTCTTCAAGAAGAGATGTATTTCATATTGTCATATTTCAACAAGATTGTGAGTGGAATAGCTCATGAAAGCGTTAGT